AGGCACTCCCACGGTACGCAGGTGGCTGGTGAGGTGGTTCAGAGATCTGCACCATTGCAGCGTGGCTCTAGTGAGATCCTGGAAGAAGAGTAGTTGAGCATTTTCAAAGGCCAGAGGCGTTTTGCCATGAGTTGCAGACATGATGTGTTTTTTTATCCTGAGAGGTGGCAAAACATAGGATGACGTCTCTGCTGGCCGTATTAGGCAAATTGGACAAGGATGGGATGCGATACAGTCCATCAAAAGTGAGTTTTCTGGCAACTGTGGGTGGCAAGATGGTGGCCAAGAGCCTCCTCACATAGTGTGGTAATTAGTTTGTGGAGATGTCAGGGGTTACCCCACATAGTTTGATGTGGTTGTGGCGTGCGCGGTCTTCATAGGCTGACATTTGCAGGGAGAGCCCTTGTTGGGTGGTCTGTAGTTGTTGTACTGCGTCATGTTTGTCATTTCAGTGTCAATGTCTGTAACGGATCACCTGGCACCCCGACTGGGTACCTCCGTTGAAGGATGCTCCTAGCGCTGCCTGAGGATTCCAAGCACTGCAGCAGATACCACAACCACCGAACCGGAGAAGCATACGAATGCTCTCAAGCATATGAAAACAAACAGCTGAACAGGAAAAGCATACAATCAGCTTACACTCCTGGCAATCAGCATACAATCCAATTCCCCCAATAACGAGACGACACTTCGTTTTGAGGTCAAGCAGAACTGACTGTACTGGCACATACAGCCTCTTTTATTCACAATCCACAAACGTAGTACTGCCCACAGGGTTTTGAAATACAACCAATCAATCCATACAATACACACAGACACTCCCAACAAAATCCTCCCCTTTTAGTAGATAGCTCCCTAATACCGTGGGAATTAGGGAGTTATCAACTTATTCATTCCTGTCATTACATTGACTGGCCAAGTGACTTACTTTTTTTTCAAATTTGTATTTTATTGAGTTTTCAGGAAATAAACAGTACCATACACAGTTGCACATGTCAAAACAGTGAGTATAAAAAGGTGCAAGTCGCAGCTTGCTTCTGGGTCATATAATTGCTGGTTTACAGGGCCTAGCACAATCATTAAGGAATGGATGAGTACCTCGTGAGGACCTATTTGCCATATACCCACAGTTGGTGCATAGTATTAACGTACGATCCTGTGTAAGGGAGAGAGCAGAAACATAACGAAAAAGGGGAAACATAAAGAGAGAGAGGGGAAAGGGGGCGGGGCAAACTCCGCTAGTCGGTAAGCATCCTAATTTTAAGTATTCTGCGGGTTTCCAGAGGTTGAGCGCTGTACCTGTTGGGTTTACTTCTGTGGTCTATTGTTTGTCAAATTGGTCCAGTTGCACCAAGTTTCCTGAAATTTGAGGGTCTGGGAGGGGGAGCTCAGAGACATTTTTTCATAAATGTAATATTGCTGTACCTTATCTTTCAATTGTGTTGCAGATGGACACAATGTACTTTTCCAATTAGTCGCTATAAGATTCCTGGCTGCTAGGGAGACCAATGCTATAAGTTGTCGTTGGGTTGGTTTAACCCTAGCGTCCGGTAGTAATAGTATGCAGTTGGAAATAGATGGGGAGAAGGCTGGGAGCCCCAAATGTACCAGCAGTGCGTGGACATCTTCCCATAAGGGTGTGATGCCAGTGCAGGACCACCATGTAGCTGAGAGCTGGTATTACACAGCCTATCTCCACTTTAGATCCCAGGGAGGTTCAGGAACAAGCAATTATAAATCCATAGGGTAAAATATCCAGCAGGAAAAATAACACAGCAGTATCCCAGCAGCAATCCCAATAACTGGACGACACACAGTATCAGGAGCAGAACTAAAGATTTATTCACACAGTGGCCTTTTAAAGCCTGCTCTGGTAGCCAATCCTGCTCTGGTAACCTCCCACACATCTCCTCCCCTCAGCCTGCATCATAATCCCCTTATCCAGCACACCAATTCCCCCAGTTTCTGGATGTACCCCTAAACTTAGGGGTACCACTTTAAATTATACATCCCTGGTAGCCCTGATCTGGGTGAACAACATATCCAAAAATCACCCAGATCAGACCAGGGGTTCGGGAAATTCATGGAGGGAATAAAATGACTGGAGAGAACAGCCGAATGGGGTTCCATGCGATGGGGCCCTGCGGTCGGTCCTGGAGTAAGGGAATAAACTGCACGAAAGCCTCTAGCTACAGAGACTAGGGAGGGGTTCGCCTGAATCCCCTCGTTTGGTTATTTCTATCTACCGAACGAGGGGCCGTTCGGTAGTTTGGAACCGAACGGACCGGGCTTGTGGAGGTCTCAGCGGTGTTCGCCTAGTCGAGTGCCCAATTTGAGTTCCAGACACTCGACTGCAAAACACAGCTGTTCAGGAGTTTTTAAAATGGCCGCCGCCACGTGTTCGTTTCCCGAATGGCGGCCACCCCCGAGAACAAAGGACGGCTACTCAGCTTGTCAATTACCCATTCGCAACAATGTTGCAACGGGTAATTGAAGGCACATTTCACACAGGGGAGGACTGACTGTTCGGTAGTTTCATTCGAACAAACTAAGGGAATGAAACTACCTAACATTCAGACGAATACAATACATTTAACACATAGAACTTTGCTATTTTACACAAATGCATTCAAATATATGTAATTCTCAGGACAGCCCAGTGCCATCCGCTACACACCAAATGTGCATCGTTGTACCCTCCTCCACCCCACATCTCCAGCATAGGGGAGACACCGTTGGGTATATCTTGTGTAGTTTAGTTGGGGTAAGGTACCAGCGGTAAAGTAGTTTTTTGTGGGCTTCTATATGGGAATAGCATTTTGTCCACCTTGACAACCCGTTCTGGGCCCCCAACCATTCCCCCTCTGTGAGGTTTATATTTAAATCTCTCTCCCACTAGGTTTTGCATAGCGGTGGTATATCTGGCTGTAATTCTAACCATGCTTTGTAACAGATAGAGAGGGCCTTGGGCTTAGTCAGTGTTTCTCTGCATCTGAGCATGACCAGGGAAGGTGCTATCGGGCTTACTGAGTCAGTTGGGGTTGGCGGGGGTAAAGCATGGGAGGTCAATATACTCCTTAATTGAAAGTATTTGAAAGTGTCCTGAGCCGGTAAGCCCTATTTGCATTGTAAATCTGTAAATGTTGAGATTTTGTGTCGGTCTTCCAGGAGGTGTTCAAGTCTCTTAATAACTTTGTGCATCCAGTCTGTGAGAGACAGTGATTGGGTTACAGTTCTTAGTGCCGTCAAGGGGGCTTTGGGGTGTAGTTTGTGCTTGTAGCCTATTTGGGCCATAAAGGTATCCCACATCATTATGGTCAACCTAGTGGTTGGGAGAAGCGGTTTGTGAGTGTAACGAAGGTGTTTTGGGGTCCATAGATAGTCCGTTATGGACTTGTCTTGAAATTGGTCCTTCTCCATATCCACCCATTGTGTGTGGCCTTGAGGTGAGTGTGCCGCTATGCTTGTCGCCAGGGCAGCAGCTTTAAAGTATAAGTGGATGTTGGGGAGACCCACTCCTCCCCTAGTAGGTGAGTTTTGTAGTAGTTTTAGTGGGAGTCTCGCTCTTTTGCCTCCCCAGATAAATGAATTACAGGAGGACTGTAGAGTTTTAAAAAGTGCAGAGGGTATCGGGAGTGGGAGCATGCGGAACACATAGAGGAGTTTTGGGAGGGTCATCATTTTGAATGTGTTGATCCTACCTAGCCACGTTAAGTGGGTCGCTTTCCACCCTACTAGTTCGTTCGTGCACATCTGACGCCTGCTATTGTAGGTGCTATTTTAACCCCTAAGTATGTTAGGGTGCTGTTTCTCCAATCAAATTGATATAAGGTTTTTAAGTTGTCTATTGTGTCTTTAGGTATTCCAACAGGTAGCGCCTGTGTTTTATCCTGATTTAGTTTGTAGTGTGATACGTCCCCAAATTTTTTCAACAGGGCAAGGATGTGGGGTAGTGCTCGTTTTGAATCTGAGGGGGATATTATAATGTCATCTGCAAAGAGGGCAAGACGGTATTCTTTACCTTTAATGGTTATACCCTTTATGTGGCCATGGTCTCTGATTTTTTGGGCTAACGGTTCTAAGGAGAGGATATACAGCAGGGGGAGAGTGGGCAGCCCTGTCTAGTCCCATTGGTGAGGGAAAACTTGGTGGATAGGAAGCCACCACATGACACCTTGGCAACTGGGGTGGTGTACAATGCCATGATCTGGGTTATCGTGGATTGTGGAAAGCCAAATTTGTGTAGTACTTTTTGCATATAACCCCAGTTGAGCCTGTCAAAGGCCTTTTCCGCGTCAAGTGCCAAGAAAAGGCCCCGGCCTTTTGTTCCCTCCAGTTCACCTAATAGGTTTAGCACCTTCCTGGAGTTGTCTGACCCTTGCCTGCCCTTAATAAAGCCAGTTTGGTCATTGTTTATGAGTTTGGGTAGGAGTCTGGCCAATCTGTTGCTCAGTAGTTTAGCGTATATTTTCGCGTCGCAATTGAGTAGGGAGATAGGCCTGAAGTTTTTGCACTCTGTGGGCGGTTTCCCTGGTTTAGGCAATGTTGAGATATGTGCTAACAGCATTTCATCTGGCAATGTCCCCTTCCGTGTGCTATGGTTAAAAGGTTCAGTAAGTGGGGGGCTAAAGTTGCTTGATACGTGCGGTAATAGGAGGTAGTTAGTCCATCTGGGCCGGGTGCTTTGTGCGCCGTGAGGGAGTCAATTATGGAGGAAACTTCCTCGAGACTAAAAATGGTGAGGAGAGATTCAGTTTCCTCTTCGCTCAGTGAGGGGAGTGTGATGCTAGGTAGGAACCCATCTATGTCAGTTATGGAAGGAGTGGGCGCCTGTGGGTCTGCGTTGAGGTTGTAAAGTTTATTGTAGTAGGTGGCAAATGAGTTTGCTATGTGTTGTGGGTCTAATATTTTTTTCCCCTTTGGCACCTAGGAGGTGTGATATTTTTGAGGCTCTGGAGCGTTTCCTGAGCTGGGAGGCCCATTTGGCACCTGCTTTGTTCCCCGAAGCAAAGAAACCATGTTTCATCCTTCGCAGCATTAGTGTTGACTTGGCTAATTCAAAGTCACGCAACTGGCCCTGCAATCGTAAGATGTTGGCATGGTGGGAAGGGGTTGGAGTTAGCTTGTTTGAGTGTGTAGCCTCAGTTAGTTCCTTCAGTATGTTAGTGTAATTCTCGAGGCGTTTCTTTTTGGCATAGCTAGCGTGTTTAATAAAGTAACCTCTGATTACAGCTTTGTGAGCTAACCATATTTGGTCAGGGTGGAATTTCGTTCCGTATTGTCTTGGAAGTAATGTTGTTTGTCCTGTTTAACCTGTTTCATTACATTTGGGTCGTTTAATAGCCCGTCATTTAATCGCCAGCTTCCTCGGCCTCTTGTTGGGAATTGCTCTAGTAAGGACATAGTAATGGGGGCATGGTCGGACCAGCTAATGAGCCCTATGTGGGTTTTCTCTATTCTGGGGAGCATTGCTGATGGAACCAGAAACCTATCTATTCTGGAATAGTAGTTGTGCGCTGCAGAGTGGCACGTAAAGTCTCTTTCGCTAGGGTGTTGTATCCGCCATGGATCTACATAGCTATGTGCCGTGAGGAGGTGCCGGATGCGCGTGATCAGTTTTCGTCTAGTTTTAAGTGTCTGGTTTTGTAAGGGTTTCTGGTGTGAGGAATCTAGATAGTGGTCTAGTAAAAAATTGGTATCCCCGCCCATCACCACTTAACCAAAAGCATGTTTCATACACAACATTAGAATCAATTCCAGGAACTCAGTTTGGCGATCATTAGGGCTATAGACATTAATAAACGTATATGGGTGATTATTGACATAGCATTGTAGCACTATATATCTGCCTTTCTTGTCTCCAATTTTCCGGACTAGTGAGAAAGCTACATCCTTGCTTATTAAAATAGACACTCCCCTCTTTTTTTTTGTATAGCAAGCATGGAAATCTATAGGGTAAGCCGTGGAATTAAATTTTGTGTGGTGTCCCCATTTGAAATGTGTTTCTTGAAATAGTGCCACGTGGGCATCTAGGGACTTGGCCTCTTTTAACGCTAGGCGTCTTTTGTGTGGAGAGTTGAGCCCTTTGGTATTTAAGGAACATATATTAAGCACCATGGTTAATGGTTGGTGGACCTGTGTCGCCGGGGGGAGGGGTGGGGTCCCGGCTTACCCCATATTTTGTGGGTATTTTAAGAGGGCCCAAAGGCCTACAGCTATACCGGTCGCCCAGGCACAAGCCTTGGACTTGGTCTTCATCTCTGGACCTGGCCCCCAAAGTATAATGCTTAACCGAATGGCAGGGCGACATGTATGCCTCTGGAATTGTTAGTGCAAACCCTAATGGTGTACCATAGACATATTTATCGAAGGATAAAGATAAAAGGGAAGAGAGAAACATAAAAGGGGAAAACATGTGAACTATGTACATAAAACCGTTGGTCGAGCAAGGTCGACCGCACTTTAAGAAACGGTTAAATATGCAGCTCGTAAGTAAGCCACCTGGGGGGTGGGTGACCTGCGTCAGAATCACTGGGTATAGTAATAGATCCATAGTGGAGTGGGTGCTCCATACGGTGTTACATCTGCTATTCTCTAGCCAAGGTATGTAAGATACAAAATCTATCTTTTAACATAAAACAATTGAGTTTGAAGAACACATAAATTAGGCTCTTCTCATCTGTATATTTATCAACCCTCTGTAGAGTTCAGGGAGATTCATGTGTGTGGACACTCATCGCTTTGGACCAGTCTCTGTTTAGTTTCACTGGTGATGCATTAAGTTTTGACACAGGCATTGTCCTGTTAGTGAAAGGAATGTCCCAATCTTGTAATATCTTCTTCCCTTCTTCTGGGGATAGGATGCTGGAGTCGGTTCCATTACGTTTAACCAAGAGTCTTGTTGGGAAGCCCCATTTGTACTGGACATTCGCCTCTCGTAGCGCTGCAGTTATGGGGGCGAAAGCTCTTCTTTTCATCATAGTAGAAGCAGATAGATCAATAAATAGCTTTATTTGGTTAAACCGTCCAGGTGGGGGAGGGTTCCTTCCTGCCGCTTGCATGACTCTATCTTTAGCAGTGAAATAGTGTAGCTTGGTGATGACATCCCTAGGTGTTAGTGGGACCTCTCAAGCTTGGTTTGTAGCTCTGTGTAGGCTTCTGCCAAAGTATTATGGGCATCTGTTATTTCATCAGCCCTCTCCTCTAATTTAGCTGTTCTGTCGCCCACTTGTTGGATATCTGACCTTATATCCAAAGCCACTTGCATCAAGTCTCTGTGGAAGGTGGATTTCAGGTCTGTGAGTAGGGCTTTAAGAGTGGCTGTTGTAACTGGTGTAGTTAAGTCAGCCATGTGGTGAGCAGTGTCACTCACTTCCGAAATGGAGGCTGGTGAGCTCGGGCTGTCGGCGCCATCTTATCCTGACAAATCCTGTGTGCTGGCTGAGGTAAGATGCATTTGAAGCGTTTTTTGCTTCATTTTTTTGCAGGTTTTTGCAGCCATTTGCTTCTGGGGTGTATGGCAGGGGTGTACTTGCGGTTTTTGTTCTATTTGCGGTCGGGTAGATGCTGTGACTGTGCTGTGAACACCGCGTGGTGGAGGAGCTCTGCACTCACGCGTCCGTCCTCATCTGCCACTAGGACACGCCCCCTCAAGTGACTTACATTTTATATGAATGTATGTTACTTGATTGTTGTAAGTGTTGCAAATGCTTACAGCTGAATCCTGGTTATGTTTGTATACTTTTTATTTAAACTTTTATATCGTGTAACATTCTTCTTCTTCCACTGGGTAAGTATATTAGTACCTAGGCAATACTGTGCTTCGGAACTTCGACAACTTCGGCACTTTAGCACTTCGACACTTTGAAAATTCTGTAATTTCGGAACTTCGGGACCTCGGCAATTCGGAAGTACCTGAATGTCCGAATTGCCCGAAATTCGTCCGAATTCATATTCGGACCGAAACAAATTGCACATGTCTATTATCTAAGATTTCAGATAATGGATACGAATAGTTTAACCCCTAAAGGTAAGCTAGTTCCAGGGACCTCCTTGCACCATTACTTTTTTTTTTTGGAAAATCAATTTTATTCGTAAATAGGTGTAACGCATTTCGGGCTCGCAGGCCCAAGTCATCATAAAAACATGAATTTACAATGGATAAGCAGTTGACTTCTACATTGAGATTTCAATGAAGGAGAGGATCAGTTACAGTTCAAGTGGTCGCTCATGTCCAGTGCCCATAGTTAGGTGTGTTGTTGTGTCAATTAAGTTATTGAAATGTGTGAAGGTATTAGAAACGCATAGTTAGGCTAGGCCCGTGAGAGGTAGGTCAATGTAAGTGTGGTGGAATCCGTATATTGTCTGAGGTGATCTGTGTGCCTGTGTGTAGGTGAGTATATCACAGTTCGGGCTCGCAGGCCCCATTTGTCATACAAGCATGAAGAGACAATGAATAAACAGTTGATATCTGTTACGAGCTTTCAATGAGGGCGAGAGTCAATCATAGTTCCCTTGTACGCTCATATCAGTGCCCTTAGTTAGATGTGCTGTTGACTCTATTAAGTCGTTGAATTATATGAGTATAGGAGACTCGCACAGTCGGGCTAGGCCCATAGGAGACGGGGCAGCGTAAATGAAATGGGGTCCGTATAGTGCCTGAGGTACTATATGTGCCTGTATTGTATTTATACGAGTGGCATCGACAAGGATGGGGAGGTGGATAACTTGTAGTTATGCGTGGCCCTAGTATATATAAGTGGGTGGTGTGGGTCCATCGTAGAAAGGGTTGTTCAGATTATGATGTGACGTGGGGAGTGTGTAGTGGTGAGCGATGAGGCGAGTGTGCGAGGAAATGGGTGGGGGTGTAAATCCAAGGCTGCATTGCACGCCCATCGTCCGCGTTAGCAGTTACCCTGCGTTTCCTCGTCGTGTAGTCTATCAGAGTCCCCTAACCGTGGTTCCGATTCCATGTAGTAGTCGGAGAGGGTCGGGGGGGGGGGGATCATGTGTAGGACAGCCGTATCCCTGTTTATATTTATGTAGTGGGGTTTCATTCAAATTCGTCCGCTATTCCCTTGAGGGTATGTCTCCCTTGTGGGTCCACGTGGTCACCCGTTTGTCTCAGTCGGCAGTGCCTTCAAAGTCTCCCCCCCAACTTAGAGAGATGCGCGGTGTACGGTTCAACGTTGCCACCTCCAGCGGGCCATCGTGGAACGCATCACCTGCCATAGGCGCGTCGCCCGGCACGCACCCCCGCCCGGCCCCCCCCCTACCGCTGCGTGCGGAAGGTAAACCACCGAGTCCAGAGTTCAGCACACTTCGGACCCCTGCCCATCACCTCCGCTTGCATAGCTTCAGCCGCTCGAATATCCTCAACTCGATGGATCCATTCTTCTCTGGTAGGGATATCTGTCTTTTTCCAGTATACTGGTACGAGTGATTTAGCAGCGTTTAGCAGGTGCCGCAAGATGGATTTTTTATATGTAGATAGTGGTTGTGTGGAGACGTGGAGTAGGATTAGCTCCACCGACCAGGTGATATCCCCCAAAATCTGACGGATGTCGGATTTGATCTGATCCCAGTATGGGCCAATATGCTTACATTCCCACCAGATATGTATAAGTGTCCCCCTTTCTTCCTGGCACCTCCAGCACGTTGGGGATGTGTTAGGGAAAATTTTGTGAAGCAATACCGGCGTTCGGTACCACATGGAGAGTAGTTTGTAGTTAACCTCTTGGTAGCGGGAGCTAGAGGAGCTTTTGTGTTGCCATATCAACGCCTTGTCCCATTGTGTAGGGGTGAACGTGGTGTCCAGTGCCCGCTCCCATTGACGTTGGAAAGTGTTGTTCTCCGAGGTAGAACCAGTCAGCAGGTGTTGGTAGAGGTGTGAGATGGCTTTCCCAAGAGAGGTGCCGCGAGAGCAGGCGTCTTCAAACCATGTCAGGTCTCTGTGCAGTTTGTCCCGGTGTGGGAGGGAGTTGTAATAATGTCGTAGCTGCATGTATCGGAAGGTCGCCATATGGGATCGTGGGCGCGACTCTAGCAGCTCGTCTAGAGATTTTAGTTCACCATCCTGAGTGACTTTGTAGAGTGGTATATAATCCTCTCCACCCAAAAACGCCCATGCTTCCGTCGATGGTCCGCCTCCAATATTGGGATTGTGCTGGATCGGGAGTAAGGGACAGGGGGTCGGGGACACCTGAGGCATTTCTCTGAGGGTTTCCCACGCTAGTAATGTTTCAGCCACCGGTCCTTCCTCTCCCTTCCTGCTGCCCCTGGTTGTTCTCCTCAGCCAAACCGCTGCCTTTAGTTTTGCAGCCTCTCCCATCCGATCCAGTGTTTACTCGTATCTGTTTCGTGCCATTCCAGGATCCTTTGTAAGACTGTTGCCTGGTGGTACTTTTTAAAATCCGGTAGGGCTAGGCCCCCTCTGTGTCTTGGCAAGCATAGGATGTCATGGCGTAGCCTGGATCGTTCCCCCCTCCAGACATATTTTATGACCGCTGATTTCAAGGTCGAAAAAAATAATGCCGGCAGGGTTGTTGGTATAGTCTGAAATAAATAAAGGATCCTAGGAAGAATGTTCATTTTTAAGACTGCTATACGGCCATGCCAAGTAATGTGGGGGTAGGACCATCTCATTAGGTCTGTTTCGATGTTTCTCAGCAGTGTTTCGAAATTACGGTGGTATATTCCCTGGGGGTCTGTGGTGAACCAGATGCCAAGGTATTTCATTGCCTCTGTGCACCAGCGAAATGGAAAAAGTGGGCCGAGGGCTTCAAATTCCGCTGCGGGTGTGGTGATATTCAGGGCCTCACATTTTGCCAGATTGAGTCGAAACCCCGACATGCGGCCAAACCATTCTATTTCTGAGAGTATGCAGGGCAAAGTGATCCGAGGTTGGGAGATGAAGAACAAGAGGTCGTCCGCGTATGCGGCTACCTTGTGCTCAGTGTCTTGCCAAGTGTATCCATGGACATTCCGGTTGTCCCGTATTGCCTGTAAGAGTGGCTCCAGTGACAGTGCAAACAGGAGCGGCGATAGGGTCACCCCTGTCTGGTCCCGTTCGTGATCCCAAAGCTTGTGGTGAGTGCACCATTAACTCGCACCGCTGCCCTCGGTGTGCTGTACAGAGCGGTGATCCAAGCCATGATCCGTTGTCCAAAGCCCATGTACCGGAGTGTCTGAAACATGTATGCCCAGTTGACCCGATCAAAGGCTTTCTCTGCGTCAGTCGACAACAGCAATAGATGTTTTCGGTGTTTCCGCGCGTGGTGTTGTATTGAGAATAGGCGTAGGGTGCTGTCCCGTGCTTCCCGTCCCGGGATGAACCCTGTTTGGTCCACATGGACAAGGCTCGGAAGGATTCGTTGGAGTCTAGTTGCCAACACCTTAGTTAACAACTTAGTATCCACATTTAGCAGAGATTGGCCGATAGTTACAGCATTGTTCTGGGTCTTTCCCCGGCTTAAGCAGGACAGTTATGGTCGCAGTCAGGGACTCGATGCCAAAACGACCACCCTCCGAGACTTCATTAACCGCCCTTGTCAGCCACGGTAAGAGCGTCGTGGCGAATTGTTTATAGTACCCCGAGGGGAATCCATCGGGTCCTGGGGCGCGTCCATTTTTAGTGTGTTTTAAGGCAGCGGCGAGATCTTCCGTGGTAAGTGGTTCGTCGAGGAAGGACGCGGCGTTCGGATCCATTCGTGCCCGCACGGTGTCCTGGATGTATGTTTGTACATGAGGCGGTGCCTCCCCGCCTGGTGCCTGATGCCCTGGTGGACGGAGGTTATAGAGGGATTCATAGTATGCCCTGAATTCGTCCGCTATGTCTTCTGGGTATGGGGACACTCTGCCCGAGGTTAAGCGCAACTTTCGTACTTGAGTTCGTGGTGTGTCGCCTTTCAGTAAGTGGGCGAGGAATTTCCCGCCCTTATTCGCATGTGCGTAGAAAAAGTTCTTCGAGCGTTGGAGCGAGCGTTGATATCGCTTCGTGAGGAGAGTGTTCAGGGTGCACCTAGCCTCCATTAATTCACCATACTTCTCGGTGAGCTGAGACCGTTTATGTTGGAGTTCCAAGCGTTTAATGGTGTCGTATACGTCTGCCATTGCACTGGTCGCCTCCTTTCTCTTGCGAGTTGCGAGACCTATAAGTATGCCACGTATGACACTCTTGTGTGCTTCCCACACCGACACAGACGACATCCCTTCCGTCTCGTTCTCCGTGAAGTATGAAGTCAGCGCTTGGGAAATCTCTTCTTTTGCCGCAGGGTCTTGAAGCAATGATTCATTAAGACGCCATGACCAGGTGGCCGGCTTGAACAGTGGGGATTCCAGCTCAATCCGGACCAGACCGTGATCCGACCACGTGGCTGGTTCGACAGTTGCCGACCGTAAGCGGGACAGTCCAGCTTGTTTGATAAGGACATAGTCTATTCGGGAGTAGCGATTGTGCAGCGCCGAGTAGTGTGTATAGTCCCTGTCGGCGGGATGGAGTGTCCTCCAGCAGTCTACCAGGGATAGCTCACCTAGTGCTTTGCGGATAGATCGGATGTGGGTTTGCGAGATGCAACTGTGACCGGTGGAGGAATCTAGCAGAGGATCCAACGGAGCGTTGAAGTCTCCTCCCACTATCAGAGCTCCTTCCGAGAATCCGCGAAGCTTGTTCAGTGCCCCACGTAAGAACTGTGCTTGTTTTGAGTTGGGAACGTATATGGTCGCGAGAGTGTAGATCCTGTCCGCAATCAGTCCCTTCAGGAAGAGGAAGCGGCCTTGGGTATCTGCCAATCTGTCCATTTCCCGGAAGCCTAACTCCGCGGCCAGCAGGATCGCCACTCCCGCGCGTCGGGTGGTCGGGTGATTGTTGCAGTAACTCACTGGATAATGAGAGTTTCGGAGTTTGGGGGCTGCGTCGGCTCTGAAATGAGTCTCCTGGAGCATCACTATGGATATGCGTTTGCGGTGCAGGGATCTCAACAGATGCGAGCGGCGTTCCGGGATATTTAAGCCTCTGCAGTTGAGAGTCATGATGGACAGGGGTGTGCGAGTATATGCCATGGGACTTCTCGTGATCGGGCGCACAGAACCGCGGATTGATGGCCCGCTATGAGGCGCGGCCCCACGGGAACGTCGCGCAGCTCCGCTTGGGATATGTGTGTAGGAGTCCCGTCAGAGCCAGCTACTGTCAGGTAGTCGGTTGGATATCGTCTTTCGTTAGACGTATGACGTTTGAACGTGCAACGCAGCCTTGGGGGGAAGTATGTGTGTATCGTGTGGTGTGTGTGTGAGTGGGGTAGGGGTATGGGGTCTGCAATGTGGCTGTAGTTCGTAATTAAGGTTTTTTGTTTAATAAAAATAAGGGTGAACCGCGTGGGTCACCCCTTCGGGTGTCGTCCCTCTCGGGGTTTGGAGAGGTGGAGACCCCGATATCTCCCTGAAAGGAGGGTCACTTGTGTCACAGCAGGAGTGGCCTGGTGTCACCCCGATAACCTGATCGGTGAGTGAACGTACCTGTGGCTCCGCTGGAGATCCTACACAAGTGTAAGTGTAGGGTAGTGGTCGTAGTCGAAACCAGGAAAGATGCAGTTTGTATATTGTATGTACTGTAAGTATGGAGTTGTCCCGCTCCAACCAGGTCCCGGCCCAAGTGCGGATATACATGGGAGGTGTGTATTAGCAGAGAGGTAAACATAGTGTGAACTAACAAACTAATAAATCAGGTGTGCAAAGTCTAAACATGGATGAAAATAACCATCAATAGCGAATATCACCAACTTCCCATGTGTGCCCCGCCGTCCCGTCTGCCACAGTGCCCATCCCCGGTATGTGCCTCATAAGGCAATCGTGACCCTTCACCAGCTATCAGAGTCCAACTGACCAAGTTATGCCAGCTGGGCCTAACCAAGGGTATGAGCTGTCGCCCCTTAATCCTTTATGTCTTGCTCCATGTGGGTATACGTCAGGACCATTATGCTATGTATACTGCTCGGGTCAGTCTGTGACTGCAGTGGTAGTCTGTGGTGTTTTTTTTTTTTGTCGTTAGCTGGCTGCGTTGTGGGTTGGGGTAGAGAGGAGGGTCATCTGTGGCTAAAATGTAGGTTTCTAATTTAATGAATTTTTTTTTTTTTTTTTAACAATATATATATATTTTTTTTAAGAAACCAGAAAGAGGGTCCCTACCTGTCGCCGTCGCCTATAGCTACCCCCCACCCCATCCAGGCTGTCCCACCAACCTGTCGTTAGCTTCATTACCGACTCTGATTCCCAGCATAGTACATTGCCCTGACCCCGCAAATCACATTGCATGACACCAGTATAGGCAGCAAATGGTACACAACCAACAGTCTCACGGTAGCATATTAAGGCAAGATACTTATCGAGGCGGGCGGAAGGTTGAAGTCCAGTGTCCCAACATAACAGGCAGTCCAAAACCAGGAGTGTCAGCGAGTGGACCACAGGGGCTAGCTTCTCCATAGGTTTAGGTAGGAGGGAGGGCCAGTTGCAGCTGGAGTTCACATTTCTTACCCCCCTTGTTCCCACCACCCAAGTAGCTATCTGGTATCCCCCTATATTGTAACTTGAAGCAGGGTCAGCAAATGTAAAATTAGAAGAGGGGAGCACAAATATGGCGTAGCAAAGTCAGTAGGACCAAAGGGGTCAACTTCTAGCGACATCCGGGCAGTCTCCCGAGGCTAGGCCGGGCAGAGGTAGTCTAGCGGGCTGATACTTGCGGGGCTGCGGGCGTTATTCATGAATATTCCGTCCAGGGGGTTCTGGTGGAGATCTCCCCCTCCGTCGGCGGGGTGCGCGTTGTGGTCTCGGGCCTGCGTCCAGAGGCCCCAGAATCCAGTCGGGTACCTGTACGGGCGGGAGGCCCAAATCTTCTAGAAACCTTGGAACCTCATTCGGCCCACGTAGTGACACCCATCCATTTTGATGTCGAGCTGACAGGGCAAAAGGGAAGCCCCATTTATAGGGGATGTTGCGTTCCCGGAGAAGTGAGGTGACAGGTCTCAGGGCCCTCCTGGCTTCCAGTGTAACCGGCGACAAATCGTTGAATAATGATATTTGCGCCCCTCGGTATTCCCATGTGGGTTGGTTTCTGGCAGCTTTTATAATGGCATTTTTTACGGAGAATGAATGGAGGCAACAAATAATATCTCGGGGGCCATCTTCTATGGAGCGGGGATTTAAGGCCCTGTGGGCCCTGTCATATCGGATTTTCATCAGGTCATCTCCAGGTAGTATCAGGCTGAAGAGGGCCGTTAGGGAGCTTTCGATATCTTCGTCCCCTTCTGTCTCTGGAACGCCGCGCACCCTTATGTTACAGCGGCGTCCGCGATTGTCGAGGTCCTCGGCAGTTCTGCGGAGTTGTAGGAGTAGGTCACCCTGTCTGGCTAGCGCCGTGTCAGTGGATGCCAGCCTGGCTGTGTAGGCCTCATGTGAGTGTTCCACAGCCTGTATTCGGTGCCCCTGTGCGGTTACCTCCGTCCGGATGCCTGCAATTTCGGCCCGTAGTGCATCCTGAATGGTGGTGGTAAGCACCAGGAGATCGGCTTTTGTGGCCATGGAGGCCGCAATGGTGCGGAGTTCCTCTCCGATGCCTTCCAGGGTTGAGGCAGAGGGAGCTCCAGGCACGGCTGAGGTGGGCGCCATCTTGGATCCCGAGGCCTCGCCACGTGTATCTGTGGTGTTATGCAGGTATTCGTCCATTGGACCTTGCGACTGGCTCAGTTGGGGACCCCTGGGGGTCTTAGGAGGTTCACCTTTGCGGGTGCGTCCCATGGGAGCTAAAATAGGCCGTTTAGTAGGGCTTTACAGGGACCGGTGGAGCGGAGCGGTCAGCTTATGCTTCCATCTCCGTCGACGTCCAAGCCACGCCCCCGTCCTTGCACCATTACAACTTAATTGAAACGCCCAAACCAGTACTTTAAACTCATTTTCTAGTGCTGTATAAACGGTACCAGTCCTAGAGGCAGAGGCATATCATAGCGCTTATGGCATGCACTGAAATTACGCCCCTCATGGCTCCTGTCCAAACATCTGACACCCATCTTTAAGATAACTACCATAAAATCAGCTTAAAATTTCAAGCTGTATGAAACATGTGTGCTGATTGTACGTGATGTGTATGTGGGGTTTCTATATATAATGTGTGTGTGTGTGTGTGGTCATGCTCTGTGTAGCACCCTGCTGCTTGGTTTTCTTCAAGGAAGGTGGTCCAATGGAGGGCTCATTGTCTCTGGTGGTCCAGCAGTGGATAGCTCTGTCTGGTGGTCTGGTGAGGGTCCTGAGTCCCTGATAGGCCAGTGGGCAGCATGAGGCTTGCACCACTGGTGGATGCAGACCTCAGTAATCCTCAGATGTTCCAGTTTGGCTCTGGAACATCCCACAACTGTGTTCTGACTCACTAGAGAGCTCCAATTTGCAACAAAGCCATTACTGAGGTCTTCATGTCCGGTCATCAGAGCGCATGCTGGGAAATCTGGCATCTGCACTCTGACTCCTTCACATAGCGACCGAACCGCAAAGAACAACAAACCACCAGAAAAGGACAATTTTTAGTGAGACCTTTTGATCTTTCTGCCGGCTCAAAGGGTGCGCCTGATTAAAGCCAGACCTTCATCTAGCCATGCCTGCCATACTGTCAGGATCTTACCTGGTTTGGAGTCCGACGTGCAGAGTTATACGCTCACCCTTGCAAATAAACACAGACCAAGGTGACCAGGTAAGAAGCCACATTGGCTGTGAGTCTGTGCATGGGGGCTGTGCAGGAATAGTGCTCCAAGTTGCAGTACAGGCAAGGACAAGAGTGGTCGAGGAAAGCCGAAGTCATGGGAAGCCGGGGGTCAGAGTAAACAAGAAACAAGCCAAGGTCAGAAGCCGGAATCAGTCTGGAGAACACTGGATCAGGATACACAATAACAGGAATGAAACAGAAGTGTGGCTCAGAGGCAGGACTAAGACAGAAAGTTTCCAGAGTTCAAATCCCCTTGGAGCAATCAGGAGGGTGACCACACCTGGACTTCCATACGGTGTGAATCGTGACACATACCCTAGGTGCCCTTGCAGTATAGAGAACTGCCCTTTGAGTTATTTTATTCTTCACTTCTATATCTCTGTTAGTACAAATGTAATTTTTATATAGATCTTATGGGAACCTATGACTTTACAGGGAAATTGGGAACACGTAAAACCACTGAGTAGCCTATTGCAGTAGTTAAGGCGAGAGAGAATAATGGCATGGACCAGCACCTTAGCGACGCCCGGCATTAAATAGGTCAGTTGCGTACTATGTTTTTGAGTTGGAAACAGCAGGATTTGGTGATCTACCGGACATGAAAGGTGAAGGAGAGGTCGGAGTCAAGTAGAACAGGCAGCAAGCCTTGAGGGATGAAAGACCAGAAGTTCTGTTTTGAACAGGTTAAGTTTAAAGAAGTGAGCACCCATGCAATTAGAAATAGCAGATAGGTAGTCACAGACACAAGTCAAGAGGGGTGGCGAGAGATCAGGACAGGACAGATGCATTTGCTTGCTATCCATATAGAAATTTGATTGGAAGCCAAAGGAGCTGATGAGTTTACCAAAGGAGGTAGTATAGATCGAGAACAGTAGGGGAACAAGGACAGAACCTTGGGGGAACACCAACAAAGAGGGTTTGCGGAGAAGAGGCAGAACAAGAGAAAGAAACACTGGAAGAGTGCTAGGAGAAGTAAAAGAAGAACCAGGAAAGTTTGTCTTGTAAACCGAGATTACAGAGGATGAGAAGAAGTTGAAGAAGTTTATAATCAACACTAACGAAAGCAGCATAAAGGTCAAGGAGAATTAGGATAGAGTAGTGACCACTTAATGTTGCAGCAATTAATTTGGTCAGAGCTGTAACTCTGTTTCTTTTCTAACAAGAGACCGGTAACACCACCCTTCCTTGTCAGAAATGCAATGCAAACATGTTATGATTTTAAAGAATTTCACAGAGACCAGTAAGGTTAGAGGGTCACTGAAATATATTAGCACGGATTCACCAATATATGTTTGCAATCCTTTACTGACAGCACAGAGTGATGTAACTGGTGTTTACTGTCAGAGAAATAGATTTCTGACCACTAAAGTCATCAAATTCCAGCTCTCTTTTCTCAGGAATGAAAGAACATAATTAGGATTTTCTCTATTCTCGTTTTGTTAAGGTGTGAGATTTTCTAAAAATATGATTTAAAAAAAAATGTGTATACCAATTGTTTTAACCTCTTAAGGACCAAACTTATGGAATAAAAGGGAATCATGACATGTCACACATGTCCTGTGTCCTTAAGGGGTTAAATTAATGTGTATACACATTGTTCTAAATGTGTATACAAATTGTATTGTGTTCTGTGAGGAACTGATGCTGAAACATTAAAGGGGAACTCTTTTTGTATTTGTATTTACTTTGTATCACACAGCCTTGTTACAATGCTGCCGCCCATCCCATGTGTTCCCTATTAAGGGTTAATAAGTATATAGGGGTGTATATAAAAAAATACCCCTCTCTGTCTCATTAGAGATATCTTTGCCAGAAGCTCAAGGAAGCAGGCTGAAGGGTCAGTGTTAGGACCCGCTTAGGGGGGTCTGCCTTGACGTTGGCAGGCGGGCATTCCCTCCAATGGCCATTGGAGCAACTAAATGACCTCCATTTGTCTAAATATACATAGGGATTAACCCCTTCAGGACGGAGTCAATAGTACACGTTCTGATCAAAACAAAACGTAAACAAAAACTGAAATTTGTGCTATATGTCTGTTCAACCGTAATTCACCTCTTTCATATTAAATGCACCCACACTTATTATATATCATTTTGTTCAGGAGAAACATAAAAGTGCAGTACGTTTGTAAAAAATGCAAAAAACATCACTTTTACTTAAAATATCATCGTTGTAATACAATTTACCAGTTTGAAACACTAATATTTGAGCTCAGCGAAGTCTCCCAAGTAAAACAGTACCCCCTATGTACAGGTTTTATGGTGTCTTGGAGAGTTACAGGGTCAAATATAGTGCTTGCAAATTAAATTCTCTGCACTTTCTCCCTGTGTTGTCAGGCATGTCAACCAAATTTTAATGAATAAAATCACATAATTATGTTAAAAGATTATTTAAATATACACGTAGAATTTTAATATAAATGCATTTATAGGTATTTAAATTCTACGTGTATACTAATGTAATCTTTTATGTAATTATATGTATTTATCTATATATATATATATATATATATATATATTTATATATATATATATATATATTTATATATATATATATATATATATATATATATATTTGCGGTTATTTGTATTTTATATATAGATAGATATATATAGAATGTCATTCTAAGTGTATTTTGTCACCAATATATATATATATATATATTAATAACAAAATACAGTTAGAATGAAATTACATATGAATATATAATTTATATTAAAAAAAAAAAAAAAAAATATTGAAAGTCACCTATAACTTGTGTTAATCTTTTCATCATTAGATGCTCTGTTTTTTTTATAATTTATATTAAATATTGGGCAATTACATCATAATCCAATGTAGACAAGGCAGATATATATTTGTTAAATATGAGGGTATGTAAACACACTGCCCCCCCCTACATACACTGCCCCCCCTACATACTTACATTAGAGGATCCCTTTTAATGCACCCTCTCAGACAAATGAGTATCTTACTGCAATGAAATCATAATAATACAAGTTATAATGATGAAAATAAGTGCAAAAAATATATAACAAAAAACACTAGAGTACACATTTATTTACATTAAAAGGTATTTACTGAGACAGTTAAGAGATTAGAAGGATGTGCTGATCAGTGTTTGCACCTGTCATCAGGGCCGGCGCTACCTGTAAGGCGGACTAGGCAGCCGCCTAGGGCG